CGTTTAATTATAATTGTTAATTAATCCATATAATATTACTTGGCAGCATACTATAAATTCGGAATTTAACTTTTATCAAAAGTATGTATTTCGTGAGAGTTGTTCGATCCAAAAATCTGTTGTGCATATTTAATTATATTCTGTAGTCCGAATATATTAAAATTTTTTCTTTTTAACTTGTATATTTATTGGCGAAATAATAAAACAAACTAAAGATGCTAGTTTATACAATATGATAGTGACAGAAATAGATTATCGCGATGAGTAGCGTGTAAATTTAGCCACGTGATTTCTGAACGCCGATTAAATCGTACTTTTCGCTCTTGTCAAGCGTAATAAAGTACGCGTCGCGCGTGATTAATCATCGTAATCATCGGGAGTGCCGTACAAAGTGTCGGATGATAGTTATATTCTACTGATTGTAATTAATCGAGTTTTTGCGAGTGATTATGTGAGTGTCATGAAAAAATGAAGGTTGAAGAGACACCTCTCCAAGAAGGCCGAAGGAGGTGATGCAATTGCAAGGTGAGCACACAAACACACACAGAATTTATAAATTTGTTAGATGCTTGTGTAAAATTATAAAAATTTATTTACTTCCGCGCTAATGATCCATTTTAAATGATTTCGTCATGAATGGTACATAAAATATTTCAATATTTTATGTACAATATATTTCAAATGAAAATTACATGTAATAATTAATTTTTTTGTAAATATTAATTTACAAAAGTATTTTTTGTTGTTGTGAGGGATCTCAAATTATGTAGTATTTAAAACAATGAGTACATAAAATGATAAAATAATTATAATTTCATTTTTTAATATAAAACACAAAATGTAAAAATGATTGCCCGACATTTTTAACTGTGCATATACGCATACACGTGAAACTAATTTCGGAGCAAATTTCCACTTCGAGAACGCTCCGAACTTTAACGAGGTACGAGACGGGAGTTTGTTACGCGGAAAGAAAGATGAAGTAGTGAACTGAGAGACAGGACGCTCGGAGAGTTAGATGAGATCGATGTTTTATGCCAAATTAAACGATACCATCTCGCGTATACCGCCTCGTAAAAGACCAGTCTTCGTTCCACTGCCATTTTCGGAAAACCGCATTTTACACCCGACGTTGAGCCGACAAAAAGCGTGTATAATTGCCGGACAATGCGGCAGATAGCCCGACAAAAATCCGAGACATCGTTTAATAGCGCGCGCGAACTTCGGAATCGCACGACAGAGCGAACCGAAAAAGTGGCGCGATGTGCGCGATGGTCCGTGGATTCTAATGCCGCGGCTAAACCAAACGCGTGATAAAACACGGTGGATTTACACGAACCGACGAGATGGTATATACAAGTATATATCTCTGTGGCGTATATATACCGCGTTAAGGCCGCGGAATGCTTTGAGCGGATCCGATACCTATTAAGATCGTAGAAAACGGATCTGCTTCGATCGAAGTTGCCCAGTCAGGACTTCCATCCTTTCCGTCGATTCGACACGCATTTTTAGCGTCAACGGTACAAAACGCTCCCGCGTTAGTCGCGCCGCATACCTAGCTCCGACACATCGAATTACATCACCAGTAGCAATGTTGTTAATTCCCGATAGTTTGCGAAGAATAAAAAGATTCGAGGAAAACTCCAGCGATTTTCAAGAATACGCCATCTGGTGGAAGATAAAATAAACGGCCCACTTCTCGACCCTAACGCGCACTTACTAACTCTGGTGATATATTTTAATTTTGTTCATTTTTGTTCATTTCTTTGACGTTAATTATCATATCTATTACCAAGTAGATAAATAACGTTTTGAAATTAATAATTAGTGATAAGTCAGAGGGTCACAAATTCCGACAATAGATTGATATTAGATTGTGACGTCAGGAGCGAGGAAGCACACGCTGAAAATTCGTAGATGCCATTTTTAAATGAAAAAAATATTTCTATGAAACACTATGACTGCAAATACATTTTACAGCTGTTGATTGATTATAAAGGAAAAATGATATATAGTTTTCGAGGTATTTTAAGGATGTGCTAAAGCTGAAGTAGTTTCATCGAAATATCTTTTTATTTCGAAATAGCATCTAAGAATTTTTACATGGTCGACGAGGACAAAAGCCTTCAATAAATAATTTTATTATAATTTCTAATTCTATTTACTCTCAAAATAAATGTACATTATACAGAAAACTCTCTGATTCACGCACGATGAAACTATTTGTTATTAATTTTACTTTATATTGCTTTCAAAAATAAAAAATAACCATCCTTGCTGCACTTAAAGATCAAAAAGTGGGCCATTTACCTTATAGAGATATGAAGAGATCTAATTTGAATGAAAACTATTTATTATGCCGAGTGCGAGTAGCCGCGGTAGCCGGGCAAGATAGAGAAGAAATAGAACAAGAAGAGGGCCGACCGGAACCTCTTCTCTGACACGATACGAACGATCGTCGTTACGTATACGCATGTACTTTGTGGTCACCCGTGGGGCTCTCATTCAACCGGTGGCTCGACTCGCTCGCTCGTTCGTTCATTCATACGCGGGGAACGCGATTTGAATCGATAAGCAAAACTCGGAAGCGTATCCTTTCCCGCTGCCTGAATCCGCTCTTGACCTCTGATGCGGCAAAAATCGTCTTCTTCGTTTTCGCCCCTAGGTAAGAGGTAAATGCTCTCCCAATTAATTTAACATTGATAATAGCGCGATACATCGCATAATAATACTAATGACATACATGTATACAAATTCAGGTATGAAAAGGGCTAGTAACAGCTTGACACAGAATTAGATGTAACGAAGTTATTTTTAAATTCTTCTGTACTTATTTTGATTATTTGTCAAGTAATTAAAATAAGTGTAGAGGAATTTAAAAATAATTTTGTTGCACCTAGTATCTCACCTGGCTCTTGCAAGCTTTTTTATACCTGAAATTGTATATATTGTATTTATATATCAGAGCCTGTTTGATTTATTATTTTTGAGATATAAATATCATTCTCGTGTTCATATTAATACACCTATTGTAGATAAAATCAATTAAATATTTAAATAAAATACTAAAATAAAATCAAATAAAATACTTGATACGGTTTTATCGTGATCCTAGTTTTGAAGCAAAACGAAATGCGATATATTGCTTGAAATTAAATTGAAATTTTTTTCTTAAATTAAATGTACGAAATCTCTCTCTCTCTCTCTCTCTTATACGTTTGTTTCTATTCGTACAAAATGGAGAAAGCGTCGTAAGGGTATAATCCCATTAGGCTTTAATCGATGATCCCCTCTACTGTTCGACGTAACGTTAGCTAGGGTCGACTGAGGGATAAGGTTGCGGCGTGAAAATAGATACACAAGCTACCGCGGAGATACGGCGTTTTATTGGCGTCGCGGGGTTCCAGGATCTCACAATCGGTCAAATGAAGACAGAGCGTTCCGCTCCAGTCTGACGATGTAAAGTCTCAACTACCCTATAGATTGGCTGCGTTTTATACGTATAAATATATTTGCTCTAGAGATCGCATTTATATATAGAACAGGCTCTATAAACATCCGGAGTGATTTTTCGTAAAGAAATATTGCTGTTTCTTTCGCTCTTAATATCTCATATTTATTAATTATTATGACAGTTGGATAATTTGCTGAAAGAATCTATAATAGCATTTAGTAATTAATAATGACATCTTGTATAATTTTTATTTGTCGAATAAAGTTACTTTATACAGTTTTCTATAAATTATTCGGATCGTAAGCGAATTTCTTCCACTTCTTTTTCTCTTCATTCAAAATAATACTCATAGAGAAAAAACGTTTCATTGAAAAAAATTAAATCGTGATATTTTTTATATATGTATAATATATGTAATTCCTTTACACTCAAGTTATAAATTGTTCGATTATTAAACGGAGTGTTGTACTTTTTGATTTGACTACTGACAATGCTGCTCTCTCAAGACAAATTTGATATTATTAATTTAATTTCGAAAAAAGTCAGTTTTCTAAAAAAAAAAAAAAAACAAATCAACTTATGAAAACATTTTATTCTACACTTTCGACTTATTTTTTCGACGAAAAATCACAATTATATTACACCACCCTGTGTGTACTTAATTTCTTTTACGCCCTTCAATATTTTTCGAGAATCTAAAATAATGAAATTATTATCAAACAAATATTATTGAAGGTATGATTGCGCTCTATCGAACTTTACCATTTTCTTTCTCGCGAATCGTGCAAATATAATTTCGCGAAAGTCACCCCGATAAATAAGAAAGAAGGCTGTTAATCCATATATTCGCCTTCCTGCGAAACGCGTAGCGTTACATCGGCGAGAAAGGCACGCGCAGCGAAGATCACCGTCTGGTGGGGGATGATGTTTCGGGGTTGACGGTGGTGGAACCCTCGGAGCGAGCACGAGGCCAACACGCGCCGATGACACTTACGCACACGTTTTCAAGACCGACCGTCGCGCGGGCGTTTCTTCGCCACTTCGCCGTGCTCGTCTTCATTCCGGAGTTGTTTTGCAAATTGCGTGACGAGCGTAGAACCCTTTTTGCTCGTTTTTTTTTTTTAGAATCATGATCGTTGCACGGATCGTTGAGTATCGTGCAAAGAACTTTCGTAGTGAACTTTATTATTTTTGTGTAACCGAAGTCACGTTGTGTTTAAAGAAGGATCTCGTTCGCTTATAGACTCCCTTTGACAATACGCGAATGTGGACGAAAGCGATCGACGTATATAGAGATTTAAGGATATGCATATGTATATTATTACAGAAAATGCAAAGAGAGAAAGATGACTCATAGCGGAAAGAAATAATAAGCTTACTTGTCGTGGCGTAAAAATTCGAAAGAGGGTTTTTAAAACCTCAGATTTCCATTTAGTGCGCGCAAAATGTGGCAATCGACCAATCTATGCGCCACGTATAACCATCCCGCGTTTATGCAGCTTCGGATGAATAGTAACGAATTTCACTCGTGGTTTCATTCTAGGAAACCGTCCATGGACGACGTCGGAAATCCTACCTCCGTCAACGCACGGTGAGTACTTTCTTAGTCCCCGATTCGCGATTTTTACGAATTCGTGCAATTTTTTATTCATAATCCGTACCTTTTTTTTATAATGTGCGACTCGGCTGAAGACATTACACGTTATTCCGCGTGTTTGCATTTTTTTTTTTTTTTTACGATTACGTTACTCAACATGTATGTCAGATTGATTTAGCGGTCATTAAAGGCGGTTCGCCTCCCACACGATATAAAGGCAGATTGCGAAGAACGCGGCGAAGAAGCTTTGCGTGATGTTCCTTCGGCATTATTATTATTATTATTATCGGACGATTACATTTTGACGATGTTACAAGCGCTCGTAACGCTTCGTTAATACCCGAGACACCCCCGAAATGTCCGAAGTGGCAGAGCGATTTTCGTAGGTAAAAACCTTCCCGGCTAAATCTTATCGACTACGATCTACCCTTCGTCCTCTATCGAAAGAGAGAGAGAGAGAGAGCGCACGCGGCCTATCTGCCGCCGTAACAATTGAACCCGTAATAGAATCACATTTATTCTTATTACCCGACGAGGTCAACCGACCAACGAAACCTCGAGACCTTCTTCTCCCATCCGACTTCGGATCGGCTCTCTCTCCCGAGCCATTTCACGACCTGCGTTATTTTTCCCCCGAGCTCTTCGCACAGTTTTCTCTTCGAGGCGTTTTCAGTCGTTCGCTCTTGTTTTATCTCCGCGAAGTGCACAATTCGAGTTCACTAAACGGAAAGAGAGCGACGCGTTTCCGATAAATTTGCAAGCAAAGGGGAGAAACGAAAAATCGAATGTACCGTTTTAAGGTGATTCTACACTGAAAAAAAAATTGGTTAACTTGATCTTTCAATTAAATTACTGTTTTGTCGATTGAACATAGATTAGTATTTAAGTGAAATATACGTTTTGTTAATATGTTACATTTAATTTAAATATTTTTATATCTTCAATTAACAAAATAATATTTAGTTGAAAGGTTTAGTCAAGTTAACCAATTTTTTTTTCAGTGTAAACGTCCTTGAGAAGTCTGTGATGTCCGTTCTGTTTTATCGACAAAATATGAGGTTAGATAAACTATAAATCTATATATTGGCTATACGGATTGTTTTTTACCTGAAATTAGAACGCTTCGCCCTTTGTTAATATCCATACTTTTAATTTGTACAGGAAAAAGATTGATCAATCTGTATAATCTCATATATCTTGATTATAGAATTATGAATTCTAAGCACATGAGACTTTATCTAACCTCACATTTTGTCGATAAAACAGGAAGGAAACTGAAGTTAGCTTAGGATCCTCTTAAGACTCGTAAGACCTCGTAGCAGCGAGGAGGAATAAAGCTGTACGACGTATCATCGAGATAAGTGGCGACGAGATGTAATCAACGCCGCGGTTTTGTTTTTAGACCGACGATCCGACGTATTTAATATGTGTAACCGTGACTCACACATACGCACTATATACCCACCCACCTATGTGTCGCGTGAAGAATCTGCCATTTCGTATCTTGCTCTCCATCTCGTGATATACCTTGGAAGTATAAACTGCAAGGCCATCAAAGTCTTTAACCGGGTTTATAGAGATGCCGCTTTCGAGATAAACGTCAGAATTTTAGCATAAAAATTTTTTCAACTGAATTTCGCCGAACATCCACGCGCGCGCGAGCTCTCTTTCTCTCGAATTTGTCTTTTTCTTCTTCTTTTGCTAGAAGAGTTAAAAATGTAAATAAAACGTAGTTTCTTTCTTGCGGGTATATATACGTTGTAAGGAGGTGTAAGATAATAAAAGAGCGAATCATCGCCGAGACGAATGCGCGATGATAAAGGATGGTGGGCGTTACGAGGTGCATCGTCACTCGAAATAACCGATGCTCCAGGCGACAACATCTCACAAAGTTGAGATGCATTCTCTCGAGCCACCGTGCGTTGCATTCGCACGAGGGTGAAATTTCCGCGAGAACAAAGATAATAACTTCATGCGTGGCGGTCGAGATTACATTAATTTTTCGCCGAATATGCGAAAATAATTCCTGCAACAAATTTTTCTCTATAAATTTTCTATATATTCCATAGCATGGGCGTCCGCAGATTTTTTTCCAGGAGAGGGCATAATTAATTTTATTTTTTCTTAATTAAAAAATGTTTTTGTTATTTTTATATTTTATATTAAATATGCAAATAAATTCTAATGTTTATTCAAAAGGAGAGCAAATTTGAATGTTTTAGACATAGTAATTAATAGTAAATTACACCTCCAATATCAGCCAATATTTTTTCCCATGTTGCTATAACAATGAGCCACTTTGGATGATTTATAAAAGTCACACAGAATTCCATTTACAATTTTTTACGTATCGTGTTTAATAGAAAAATACACATTTGAAAAAGTACATACGCGTGTACGTTGATAGATGCAGATATAAAATTAGAAATAGAATTCTGTATATCTCGAGTATTCTATATAAGTATTCTGTATTTGGCAATCGGACTCTACAGTTCTTTTTCTTCAAACTACCTTTTCTGTAGAGTATGAGAACTTTTGCAGACACGCGTTTGTGCGATTTCGTCTTTCGGGAAGAGTTCGATGAGCGGTCGAGCCTGTCGCGTTGCTGCAGGGGAAAGAAAGAGAAAGAGAGAGGAGAGACTCCTTCTGTACCACACACACACCATTAATATTAATGCATTCCGCCGCATTTCTCGGTACGTATTGTACTCGCGCCGACGACGGCGTCCAACAATATCGCTCTCGCGTTTCTTGTAAGTGACACTCTGCTCTCTACACGCCCGTGTCTCTCCTCTTCGTACAACCGGCGACAAACCGCGGGCCGGAACGGAACGGAGTTTTGTCCGCTCTATGGAGGGAGCCTGAATATTCACGTCGACCGATAAATAAAATTCAAAGGTGGAGAGAGCGAAACAACGATAGCTGCATTTTCCCGTTCGTTCACTCGCGCGGGGAGAAATTTTTCTTTCCGAGAGAAAGAAAGAGAAAAAGAGAGTGAAAGAGGGGTCGCATTGTCGCACGATTTTCTCCCGTCTTACGAAACCGCGCCGACAATGCGCGTTTCTATGTTCCCTTCGATACGGCGTTAACAGCCGGAATCTGTCGCTCTTATTTCGCCGTCATTTTTAGAAAAATTCATATTGCGTTTTAAATTTTCATGTATTTTTAATTTTTCAAAAAAATGTTTATGCTAGTTGCTCTAATTTCCGCAAATCTTATTTTGCCTGACATTTTTAGAAAAATACATACTGTATTTTAAATTTTAATGCAATTTTTTATATGAATAGACTATTATTAAAGGGTGGTTTGTATTATTATATTTGGCGAGGGTCGGTGAAAGGGTTAATTTTTTATTGAATTTTTTGAGAAATATCTACGATTGCTCTATTATCTCGTTCTCCGATGTGAAAGTCATTCTCTGCTATTTATATTTTCTACTTCTTGTGTGCGCTAATTACACTTACAAGAAGGTATACAAATCTTGGATGAAACGCGTCAACTTTCATAGTCTTTTCATTATTTGTGTACGAGAGGTTTTATCAATTGCATTGAATGTAAATTTTCTCGTATCAGATTTGGCAGGTTCTGATTATTTATTTCGAGAATGTAAACACACACGCGCATATATATTTCATATAAGATGCCTCTTTCTCGCAAATCCTTTTCTCCCTGTTCGACACAACGAAAGAGAATCCTCGCGGATATGTCATATCTATCATATTGCATTATCGCGTAAGAGCGTGCACATATTTCGATCCATTGATACGGGCGAGAAATGAACAGAGAGACCCGACGTTGTAATTATTAGGAAGCGTGTACCATAAACATGATATAAAAATACTTGCGCGCGGAACGGTTCCTCTCGAGGATATTCTTCCGGTTCGACGAGGAAGGGGAATCGGGAACAGAAACAGGTTGGTCGAGTTTTAAGCAGTCCGAAGACGTATCGCAAATTAGAAGAACGTGCGTCCGGCGACGTACACGTGGCGCCTGTGCCGCAGCGTCGAAATTTCTGCGCGCGGCCCGCGCGGAATCCCTAATAAGTCAGCGGGCTGCGGCGGCGACTAGACACAGGAGAGGTACTCGCGTATTCGCATGCGGGTTGCTCGCGGTCGTGGAGATGGAGCGACGTCACGGATACGTGGGATTCCTCCCGAGCAGCTGGATCACGTGCACCGGCGGAACGTGAGGCTAACTTGAATGCGAATCAGGAACTTGCGACGCCGCGACGCGGCGCGGATTTCGAACGAACGCTCACGTTTGCTCGATTCCGATTGTTTTTCATCGTCTCTCTTTCTCTCTCTCTCTCTCTCTTTCGCGTCCTCGTCACTTGTCCGATTCACTTATAGTCTCTCGGCGCTCTCGATCTAACTCGCGAAGGTTGACCTCCCTGACCGCGGAGAGGCTGTCGATGCGAGGTAACAGATTTCCAGAACTTGTCGGAAGTTTACACGCGTGAGTTTTGTTGCTGCTTTCTGGATTTTTCTTCTTCGTCGATGCTGATTTACTATATGGTTTTATTTTTCATTTTTTTTTTAATATCGGTAAGGGAAAACTCGTGATTCTGTGATATTTTTAAATAAACCTGATTCTTAAAGTTACATTAACATTTTGTAAAGTTTACGCCATAATACGTTGGTATAATTTTATGATAATATGAATAATATAATTAATCGATGTAATTAAATAAACTTGATTTATAAACATTTTGTAAAATTCATACAGATATATCGTAATACGTTGGTGTAATTTCATGATAATATAATTAATCGGTCTAAGATAAGAAAGAATATTTTATTTTTATATTGTAAAATAATTGATCTTAGTAAAATCATTATAAACTTATAGAATGAGAATAATATAACTTGTTTATGCAATTTTATTTTAAAAAGTATGAAATTTATCATCAGAAAATTAGACATTATAGACATACTGTCACAAAATAATCAATGTTACTACTATTTAAATATAATAATCCATTCTGAACTGTTTGATCCAGTAAAAAATACTTGCATTTCTCTTCTAATATAAAGCTCATTCATATATATATTTTAATTTATTTTTTTATTTTAATTTAATTTAATTAAACATTTAAATGAAAAATAGTCTTACATAGTATCATTAAATTAATCAAATTTGTAACCCCTAAGTTATTTTGATGATTATTCACCGAAATCGATGATCCGTCTGTAAGTTTTTCGCGTAACGAGAACGGGACGAGATGCCGGCGCGACATCCAAATGCTGCGACGAAAAATTTCTCCGCGCAAAACCTGGGGAGTAACAATAGGTATTTTCATTAGTCGAATGGTTCGGTCGAACGGTAGATATTTGATTCGCTTTTTATCGCACCGCATTCCGGACCGCGTAGTCGCTTCGTCGAAACGGGGCATCGGAAAAACGCTGGCAAAGCCAAACTCCTCGATCTTTAATGTCTGGAAGAAACTCTTCACTTGGAAGTAAATAGTATATCGTGAATATATACTCCGCGTCGAGGGGTTTGTCGCACACTACCTGTATTCCGGAATTTCGTTTCGCGCGCGCGCAAAAAAAAAAAAAAAAAAAAAGAAACGAATATACAATATTCTCGGGACGGAAACGGAAGAGAGGGCGAAAATCCTGGTTCCATTTGGACGATACATTTTCGACCCCGCTTGTAAACTAAAAGCGCGCCTCGTCTTATCTAATCTCAATATAATTGCGAGAGCTGCACGTCATATAAAATAGCTTATTATACTATGGAAAAGTTGATTCGGGGGACTATATAATACGGGGTCTTGGAAATTAGCCTTATACCCTGTCTGCCTATCTCTCCTACAATGGTGATGATTATATCTACTTATAGGTATAACTACCTACGTGTGCGCCAAAAAAAGAAAAAAAAAAAAGAATCGCCCGTCTACCGTCCGAAATGATCTTCGCGGTCCTGCCTCGGTTCTCCTCCTCTTCTCCACCTTCTTCTCCCTCGTCCGATGAGCTTGTCGAAACTAGTTTATGCAACAAGTTCGGGAACCATTGACCTCTCCTCATCCGCGTAGCTCTACGATATAGTGATGAAGCTTGTTTATGTGTTACAGATTTGAGGAGAGGCACTACGCTTTCGAAAGGTACGCTGTCAACTCTTTACTCACAAAATGCATGCCGCTTTTCTATCCCTTTTTTTCTATTTCACTGCGTTCATCTCTTGCTTTTCTTGCGCAAAAGAATCCGAAGGGGCAAAGTGGTCGACGAGAGTAATCGGTCCGATAATAATAATTGCAAGGATCGCGCATACACTTGAACTCTCGAAACTCGAGCTCTGCTTGCTTGAAAATATGAAACACATATGCAAGCATCCAATTCGCGATTCTTTCACAGTTATACATAATACATATGTGTTATTAGCGTATGCGCCCTATAATAACGACACTTTCCCGTGGCGGGCAAATTATTGAAGAAATGTTATTCGGTGACGAAACGCGATTATGTAAAAGCTATACGCGGCGCCGAATTGCAAAGCAGCAGTTTCGGACTGTCAAATGCTCTCTTTCTCTCCCGTTGCATTACAATTTACAATGCAACACCGTGCGCTTTTGTTTCCCGTATGATTGCCGAGCGTCTCGTTCTCGCCTTTAAACTTGAAGCGTTTATCGCGTGGCTGAAAGGCGGGTCCTCTCGGAACCGTCTCTTTTTTTTTTTTCGTTTTCTTGTCGCGTCGATAAGTTTGACTTTACATATATCGCTTCTTTTAATCATCGCGAATCGACACGGTCGATCGCGTTTTATTGACACGGCGAGCTTCCTCCTTATTACGACAGAAAATAGGAATGCAACTTATGGAACGTACGGGAGGGTACGAGCCGATATATATAGAGTTCGGTGCTCGATTCAGCTCGGCACAATTCCACCGACGCCCTACGACCGTCTTAAAAGGCGTTTTAAATCGCCGTGTCGTGAAAGAATCCCATAGAGATGCGGCGTATAAAGGCATTCCGCCAACCCTCTCTCTCTTCCCTCTTTTTTTTTTTCTTTTCTCATCAACGTTCGGCGCATCGATCTATCCCGTTTGAGCATTTTTTTCCTCGTCCGATTCATTGCGCCTCCTCGTGAAGCGCGTTATTGGTTTTCCTTTTTTTTTTTTCCACCCGAGTGATTTATATATTAGTTTCTCTTCATCAGCGACACAATTTACACACTTTTGATTCCTTCGCCTCTGTCGAAATTTGCGATTCCATCGCGAGCGCGGAAATGTTAATAATAGAAACGAGAGAGCGCTGTATTTCGAGGATTTGCCGCCCGACAAGTGTGTGGGCTCTCCTACTCATTTATTCCATAAATCTGACGATAAATAACCGACATATTGGGGGGCCGACGTTCGCGTGGGCCCGCTTATCGTATCCCGCAAATGCGCCGGAACGCATTTAAAATGTATTGAACTGTCACGGAGCAGTGGTTTTCCGGATTTTTTACATTTTTCATCGGCGCTCTCTCGCACAGTGCAGGCCCGCGTGGATTAGTGAGTTATTGTTGTTCTAAGTGTGTCGGTCAAAGGGAGTGAACCCCAAGTTCTGCCACGGTAATCCTGACCATAACGGCTCTCTCGCACCCCACAAAAAAGCCTCCTTCTCTTTTGCGCCCCCTCTTTCTCTCATCCCCACTTTTTTTTCATCCCCCGAATAGCTCTTGTTTGCTGAGACGCGTCCGCTGAATTTCGCAATTTTTGCAGCTAATAATAATAATGTAATATAATTTGTAACAGCTCTTTAAAAATTAATATACATATAAAAGGCAATAAGAGCTAATTAAGTTCTGTTATTAATATTTATTTGTGGGAAAAAAAATTTTTAACATAAAATATTAGACACAAAAGTTCGAACGTTTCGGTTGCCTTTTTCAATTTTCTTCAGCGCATCATTTAAGATTAAAGATTAATAGAAATTAACAATAAATTATTCATAACTGTCAATATACTAAAACTATACAGAAACAGAGTTATTCGCATAAAACTACGTCAAGATATTATTTTTATAAAAAACGAAATCAACGCATTTTTTAAAAGCATGAGCATTTTTATATATTCTATTCCTCGAATCGTCATTTAATGTAATTGTTCGCGAAACAGATCTCTCGCTAATTGTTCCGTTAGGAGGTCGGTTGCGAATCTCGATAACAGCAATTGTTAATATGTCTATAAAATCATTATATACGAAAAATTAACATTGAAAGATGCGTTAAAGAAGGTTGAAAAAGGCAACCGAAACGTTCGAACTTTTTTGTCTAATATTTTATGTTAAAAATTTTTTTTCCACAAATAAATATTAATAACAAAACTTAACTAGCTTTTATTGCCTTTTATATGTATATTAATAATAATATGTTCAATGCATCGAAACAATTATTTATGTTATCGCAACGACAAGATAACGATCTCATTACGGAGATTTCTTTTTTCGGGGGAAATGTTTAGTGAAAAAATTGATCGGGGAGGGAAACGGCCATAGAGACATTGGACCAATTTGACGTTATGGAGAAAGCGATAGGTTGCGGTTGAAGAGTCGACAGATATCGACCTTCGAGTTTGTACCTCATTTTCATAGATACACGTTTGCCTGGCGTTTATAGGCGGCCTTTTCCGCGCTATACTTTTAATACATTCCGCGTATTGTTTTCCTATTATTTTCAAGAGGTTGGGAGAAATTTGCGTGAAATGCGCATCTTTATCGTGAGATATGACTTCCGAGAAAAATAAAGAAGATCAGATTGGAGAATCAAGTCCGCTGCTAAGATTCTTACCTCTGGATTAAACTCGTGACATTAATGGGCGCGGCAGGACAATTCACCCCAATTAATTCCGACGTGCGGAAGGGAGGTGGGATCTTATATACGGGATCAACCAACTAAGACCGGCGGCATCCCTAATCTGCATCGGCAGATTGCTCTGAGAATTGACACCGAGAATTTTCCCTTCCGCCCTTCGAAGTGGTAACATTTGACGTCTCATCTCCTTACAGCGCTTTCTCTCCCGCGCCTTTTGCCACAAGATACAAACTCGATGCATATATTAGGTCGTTTTAATTGGAAAGCACTCCCCGAAAACAGCTCGACAACGTTGTTACATCTTGGCGATTTTTTATCACCGGATTTATCACTGCAATCTGTCATTGCTATCTTGTAATCGTTGCGAGAATGTAGATTATCTTGTTGTTAATTCAAACAACGAGCATAGAAAATGAAGTAGGAAGAGCGCGTCTCTTTCATGCTGTTCTTTCCTTCTAATATTGTTCAACGGATGGAAAAATATAATTTTTTTTCACCACTCGACAATAAGACAACTGCGCAGAACTGTCTGTAATTATAGTCAGTATGATAGTAGATACTCTCGGGTCTTGACAGTATATAAAAGTGTACTATAGAATTGTAAATATATGGAAATGCTTTCTCGACCTTTTGAATAGAGTGACAAGAGGTGAGAGAACGTCGCTTAAATTATGTGTTTAAGACGCGAGAATGAGATGGATGGATGCCGCTCGAACAGACTGCAATAGAAAGAGAGAGAAAGACTGCATTTTTGCTCTGTATTTATCCGTCGAAAAGTAGGCGGAAAAGATACTTTGTCCCTCATCTTTTTTTTTTTTTTTTTTTTATAAAAGAACGCTATTTCGACAAAAAAAGACTCGGGCGGAAAACATTCCCCTTTTATTCGATCGCAAGCATTCCAAACGTTTCGTTTAATTAGCACCCTGCGTTTTCTCGCAGCTCATAAAAGGGAAAGAATCGGCCGATGTGCACGTGGTAGTCTTATAAGGGGAGGGAAAAAAATTTCCGGTCGTTTCACGGTAATTAAAAATGTTGCAATAAAGAGAAAACGATTCTTTAATTCGTATAATGATCCGTGTGTACATATTATTACTCTGCGGCTAATATTTATATCTTTTTTTTATCAGAAACACAAACATTACACAATTATTCATTATCATTTCATAATTAATTAATTCGGCTGATTAATGTAACATATTAATTTAAGATCTTTATCGATCGCCTTGAGTGTTTTTAATACTCGGACGATGGCTGATCGAAGCGTCGATAAACTTTGCGAATGTGTTTACGAGAATCGAAGTGAAATCAGAGATAGAGCGTTATAAAGTTATCGCTTTTCGTTTCCCTCGCGAAGAAAAAAAAAAAAAGAAAGACACGTGTAGTACAGCACAAGAGCCACGGTGGTATAAATCTTACTTAGGGTCGGGATACACATGCGTTACGAGAGGAACGGTTATTCATAAGCAATGGATCGTAAATTATAAAATACAGTGTTACGTCACTGAATTATTGAAAATATCAGTAAATATCAGGGTCTTAAACGCGAATTCGTATATCTTGTATCGCCACGATATGCCGGTGCTCCGGAATTCCGATTTATATACACGTTCCACGTGAGCAAAAAAAAAATGTGAAAAAAAAACGTGAGATTTATGGTGTTACGAAGTGCGAGAGTACTTGACGCTAATTTTGATTCGCGCAAAAATGTTGAACGACACGTCGGGCGAGTATTATTAATCAGGCAGAGAGATGTCATTATGAGAAACGCGCGTTGTTCGCGCGGCAATCTTGTAAAACATTATTCTAACTAAACTGTCATAAACGGGAGGAAATGAAAAGAGCTGCTTAATAGCTTATGTATGCAAATTCCGCGCGGCAGATTGCGCCGAGTGCTCTCGAGTGAGAGAAATGACGGTAGTCGAGAAAGCGGTCGAAAGGGTGACTGTCGCCCGTATCTATTTACCCTCGAGAAGTCCTTCTTGGCGACAAACGGAGTTTCTCAACAACGGAGACGTAAACGATCGATATCTCACAATTGTATTTATCGATGTATTATTTTAGAGCGAGAGAGAGAGAGCGCATCAAATTAATTTTTCAATTAACATTTTTAAAAAATTTTATATATATGTCGGCTGTATCGGGAATCCCGATTAAAGGGGAACACGGGAATTAAAGATCTAAACCAAAGATACTATTCTTAATCAGCGAAAAAATTAATTTTCACAATAACCGACGCAAAAGACACCGCGTATTTATAAAATTATATGTTGATTTTGAGAGTCGAATAATATTCTTAATATTTTTTTTCAAA